ACACACACACACACACACACACACACACACACACACACACACACACACCTTCATGCAAACATTTGAATTATTTAAAAAAATGCTGAGTCAATGATTTGATGTAAAAAAAAAGATTACAACAGTTTGGTTTTCAAATTAAAAGATTCAGAGAGAAGATTTTCAAATTAAAAGATTCAGAGAGAAGATTTTCAAATTAAAAGATTAAGAAAGGATCATTTGATAAATGCTAAGTCAGCATTCAGACTGTTCTCTGTAGATTTATTTTTTCCATATTTCTGCAGACTGTTCTACTTTAGCTGCTCGTTTATCAAAGGCTTCGGCTCATTCGGCTGATAGCTGCTGAACTTTTTGTAACAACCTGAGGACAGAGACACCTGGTCTCACACAGGTAACCTGACTCCTCCCCCTCATCAGACCCATCTAATGTGGTCTGAAACACCTGAGGCTTCTCTTCACAGAGTCCTGCAGGTGAGGACAGGGGGGACCGAGGACCTGGTCCAGTTTCTGGTCTGCAGGTTCTGATTCTTCAGGTGAGCCTCAGAGTCTCGTGGATCTGAACCCTGAGCTCTGCTGAGTCACAGGATCAGGGAGGAGTCTCAGCAGCTTCCTGTGTTTTCCCGCCTGCTAAACGCTCGCTGTCACTTCCTGTCAGGCGGGCCGAGCCTGACGGGTCCTCGGGCCAGAACACAAACGTCACATCCAATCAGAACCGAGGGCTGAGACGGGCCTCTGCAGCGACACACACACACACACACACACACACACACACACACACACACACACACACACACACACACACACACAAACACACACACACACAGGTTCTGACCCGCTGAGATCAGACCTGAACAAGGATCGGTGACGATGTCACTTCCTGTCAGACCAACAACCAATCACGTTGCTCCTCCTCTGACAGCCTGAACCCATTCAGCCATCTGTCCGTCAGACGGTTCTGACCCGGCCCCTGTGGGTCCAGTAAGGCCCGGGCAGATGTCCCAGCAGCAGAGAGACGAGTCCAGCAGACACAAACGAGCTGCGGGTCAGCTTTGTGTGTCAGGATCAATTATTTATTACAATAACACCTGTTCTGACCCGGACCTGGTCTGTTTGGTTCTGATTTGGTTCTGATCCGGACCTGGTCTGTTTGGTTCTGACCCGGACCTGGTCTGTTTGGTTCTGATCCGGACCTGGTCTGTTTGGTTCTGATCCGGACCTGGTCTGTTTGGTTCTGATCCAGACCTGATCTGTTTGGTTCTGACCCGGACCTGATCTGTTTGGTTCTGACCCGGACCTGATCTGTTTGGTTCTGACCCGGACCTGATCTGTTTGGTTCTGATCCAGACCTGATCTGTTTGGTTCTGATCCGGACCTGATCTGTTTGGTTCTGACCCAGACCTGTTCTGTTTGGTTCTGACCCAGACCTGTTCTGTTTGGTTCTGATCCAGACCTGATCTGTTTGGTTCTGATCCGGACCTGATATGTTTGGTTCTGATCCGGACCTGATCTGTTTGGTTCTGATCCGGACCTGGGTGATCTGCATTAATTAAGAAATGTTGGGTCTTTAAGTTTTTCATTGTTTTTGACAGTTAAACTGAATAAAAGTGATAATTATTCATGAAAAGAGGAAAACTCGTTGTTTTCTGCTGGTTTAGAAAAATAAAAACTGTTTTTAGACTTCCTGTCTATAAACGATGAAAGGCGGTGGACGAGACAAGAGTTAAAGAGCCAGCATGTCCTGAAAAAGGCATAAGCAGTGGTGGGAACAGTTAGCGGTTTAGCGTTAGCGAAGCTAAGGTTCTTTTTAGCATGTTAGCGGTCAGTGAAGCTAGCTGTTTGGTTAGCTGTGCCCATCAATGCCTTTAAACCTAAAACAAGTCAAAGTTGTTTTTTTATGATTTTAATGTGTTTTTCCTGCTGTCTGACAGTTTTTCTGCTGTTTGAACATTAAATGTAGTTTCTGGTTTCATCTGAAGTGTTCTTCAGAGTCAGCTGGCCTCAGCGGGTCGAGCTGCTTTAATGGTTCTGATCAGATCGGGCCAGTGAGGGTCGCTGCAGGAACAGGATGTAACCTCCCTCTGAGGACCGGTGCTGCTGCAAACATCTGAACAGCCGGACATGTCGGGGCAGAGGAAAATGAAACGGGTCTTAAATCAGACGCTTCAGGGAGCGGGACTCAGAGGCTCCGCCCCTTCAGACAGACGGCTGACAGGAAGAGGCTCCGCCCCTTCAGACAGACGGCTGACAGGAAGTGGTGGCTCAGGTCAAACCCAGCATCCATTCCACTAAGTGCTCTGATGAAAACACAGATCCTCGATCGATGCTGCCTCACACGGACCGGGTCGGGCTGGAGCTCCCCGAAGACCTCGGCCACAGATCAATGTGACAACCCTCAGCTGGACGTGTCGGCGCTCGACTGGCCCACTTTCTGCTGTGATGGCACCGGTTCATGAGAAGAACCGGACTGCAGCGGGTCAGACATGGATGATAGACAAACTAAAACAGAGGAGCATGGACTCRGGGAGACTTCCTCTCTTCACTGTGTGTGAATACAGCTGTGATGATGCTTAAAGCTCTATCACACAAAGAAGCTGTACATGATCACTGCAGYCTTCTCTGAACTGAAGATCAGTTAAAATGGACTGAGGGCTGTTCTGAGTCAGACAGCTGAAGAGGAGAGGAGTCATCACTGTTAAAGCCTCTCTGATGGTATAGGGGTGCATCCAGAACTGGTCCACTGAATTAATTTGTTGTCATTTTTATATCCTACTGTACATAAAGAGTTTAGTAAATTTATAAATGTTTACAGTCTGTTTTYATCTCCAGTTTTTCAGAATGTTCTGCAGCAGGAAACGATCTCGTTCTGTTCTCTGAACACGGGTCCAGAGAACCGGTCCTGAACCAGGACCAGAACCAAACCAGAACCAGCCTGAACTCACAGCACAGACAAAAACAAACAGGTTTATTTACAAACACCTCTCAGTTTCTCTGCTTCCATTAATATGGATGGATGGATGGATGGATGGATGGATGGATGGATGGATGGATAGACAGATAGATGAATGGATGGATGAATAGACAGATGGATGGATGAATAGACAGATGGATGGATGGACGAATGGATGGATGGATGGACGAATGGATGGATGATGGATGGATGAA